TTTTTTTTTTTCAACTGGGGTTAAGTGACTTGCTCAGGGTCACACAGCTAGTAAGTGTCAGAGGCTGGATTTGTACTTAGGATGATGTGTCTTCCTGACTCCATGCCCTCTATGCACTACGGCGTCACCTAGCTGCTATCTGGCACGTAATCAATGCTTTTGATGGATTGACTCCTCATCTATCTAAGGACACCCATGGGGTCCTCTTCTCCTTGATGGAAAGGTGTTATTCTTGGGAAACTCACTATCTAGTAGGGGGTGAGAGACATTAGTTCAGTCATTCAACAAACTTTTATTGGCAGCTAATTTTTGGATGGCCAAGGTGGGTGAGAGACATTAAAGTGAATATGAGCTCATTGTGGCAGGAACACTATGTGGTTTGTTTTCATAGACCACAGTACCTGGTATTAAGTAGCTGCTTAATAAATGCTTGTTAATTTAATTAAGTGTCACTTGCATTTAGGCAATTCTCTAAGACTATAAATTGAAAAGAAGATGCCAGCCTATGCCTCCTTATCTAAGTTCCCTCTATCAGTGAAATCCCAGGTTCAGTCCCTAGCTTTCCAGGCTTCTTACATCTTACACCTTCCCATCCCGGCTTCACACTCTTCCATCCAGTGACCCTGGCTTCGGGCCCTTCCTCTGACACAACATTGCATCTTCTGACTCCTAGTGTTTTCACTGGCTACTTGGAATTCTCTCCCTCCTGATCTCCACCTCCTGGCTTCCCAGGGGTGAGACAGAAAGCCAGGTGCCTAATTAGAACCAAAGGATTTTAGGATTTGGATTGGGAAGGGATGGCTAGACCAAGCCCCTTTGTTTAATGTTTTAAACTTAGATGTTTTATTTTTTATTTTTTATTAGGCAATTGGGGTTAAGTGACTTGCCCAGGGTCACACAGCTAGTAAATGTCAAGTGTTTGGTCTGAGGCCGGATTTGAACTCAGGTCCTCCTGACTTCAGGGCCGATGCTCTATCCACTGCGACACCTAGCTGCCCCATAAAATTAGATGTTTTATTGAAAACTTAATATTGAACATCAGTAGAACCACGTTGTTTAGTAACCGTTCGCAGTTAACTTAAATTCAATGACTAAAATATTACATAATGAGTGCACTGGCTAAAGAGAGTCCAGTTTTTAGAGCAGGTTCAATATCCCCTGCCTAATACAAACTCACATGGAGGAGTGGTGGGATTGCTTCGAGGTATGGACAAGGTTGGGGCCCTTTCCCATACTTCAAAGAACAAAAAGAAAATGAAAAGAATAAGCGTTTATATAGTGCCTACTTAGGGGGATTCTGGGAGGGTGGCAGAGTAGCTACGTCAGAAAACCTTTGGCTCCCCAAATTTCCTCCACCAAAAAAAAAAAAAGACAGAATATCTCCCCAGGGTAGAGCAGCAGAAATAAACAGGAGTGGGGTAAAGCGATTCTCCTCCTAAGACAACCTAAGAAGACCCCAGGAAAGACCCAACCTCTGGGGACTGAGGTTTGGCCTGAGTGAAGTGAAACCTTTGGCTCCCCAAATTTCCTCCACCAAAAAAAAAAAAAAGACAGAATATCTCCCCAGGGTAGAGCAGCAGAAATAAACAGGAGTGGGGTAAAGCGATTGTCCTCCTAAGACAACCTAAGAAGACCCCAGGAAAGACCCAACCTCTGGGGACTGAGGTTTGGCCTGAGTGAAGTGAAAACACCTCCAGGTGACTCAGGAATCAATAAGCCCTGGGGACAGCTGGGGTTGGGAGGCGGCCTCAGCCTCAGGCACTTTCACCTGTCCCACAGTGTGAGGGTCTGAAGGCTGAGTAGGAGAAGATTGAAGCACCTTCCACTGTCTGGGGACACCAAGCACGGCTGTGCTGACCAAATGAGGTCCTGGGCGGAGGCTGCGGGAGAGAAGGAGCTAGCACACCCCCCGTGAGGGCAGTAGCAGAGAGGCTGGGACCCTGCTGGCTGAGGACACTTGCAGGATAGCCAGAGCCTCTGGTTTCCTTTCCAGAGCAAAGAAGACCCCTGTAGCTTGCAGCCACTGCAGCAACATTGTAGGACAAAGTAGCTGGGGGCCCTAGTCGTGGCTTAGGGGTGGAGAAGAGACCCCAAGGTTGGGCCCTGGGACAGACCTCAGAAAATAACAGTAAGAAGGACCCCAGGCTTGGGGCATCATTTCCCACACCTTGGGACTCTACCTTGATTACATTAATAGCTGCTAAAAACAAAATAAAAATAAAAATGAATAAGCAAAGGAGAAAGAACTCAACTATGGAGAGTTATTACAGGGATAGACATGATCTGGGTTCATATTCAGAGGAAGATGGTGAAGCTAAAAAAAGCCACTCCTTTAGCAATAAGAAATGTCAAATGGTCTCAAGCCCAAAAAGAGTTCTTGGAAGAACTGAAGAAGGACTTTAAAAATTAAATAAAAGAGACTGAGGAAAAAATAGAAAAAAAAATAGCAGTCCGAGAAAATCAAGAAAATTACTAAAAGAAAGTCAGCCAACTGGAAATAGAGAATCAAAAACTTGAGGAAGAAAATAATTCCTTGAAAGCTAGAATTGGGCAAGGGGGAGCTAACAATGTTATAAGACACCAAGAAATAATAAAACAAAATCAAAAGAATGAAAAAATAGAAGAGAATGTGAAACATCTCATCAGAAAAACAACTGATCTAGAGAACAGATCAAAGAGAAACTGTATAATAATCAGACTACCTGAAAATTATGATTAAAAAGAAAAGAATCTTGATACAGTATTACAAGAAATTATAGAGGAAAAGTGCCCTGAAGTTCTAGAACAAGAAGGCAAAGCAGAAATAGTGACTCAAAAAGGTCAAATTGTTTTCTTCTTATATGTGAACATATTATCAGTACTCTTATGACTGTCATCATTATCTGAGTAGTTTGGAAGAAAAGCTTGGGCTGAGCAGTGTATGATGGGGTGATTCATAAAAAAATAAAACTGTGTGAAAAGAGATAAAAAGGAGTAATTATCTCATTCAAATGAGGCCTGAAAGGAAGAATTGATACAGAAGAAGCAAGTGGGGGGGGGAGGGTAGTGCTGGAACCCCATTCTCACTGAAAATTGAAAATGGGTTAAACGGGCAGCTAGGTGGGGCAGTGGATGGAGCATCGACCCTGGAGTCAGGAGGACCTGAGTTCAAATCCAGCCTTAGACACTTGACACTTAGTAGCTGTGTGACCCTAGGCAAGTCACTTAACGCCCATTGCCAAGCCAGAAAAAAAAAAGAAAGAAAATGGGTTAAAAAAGGAATATATCTAGAAGGGTATAAAAGTCTTCTAAATTCAGAAAGAAATAAGGGCAAGGGGATGGGTGGGGGGAGAGGATAAGAGGGACTCTTAGAGGGGTGGGTAGGTTAAGGAATAGGAGGGCCAGGTAGCAAGCAGAAGTAAATTAGAGGAATGAGGAGGGATAGAGTAAATAGGGTGAGAAGGATAGTGAGGGAAAATAGGAAGAAGGGAAATACATAGCAAGTAATTTTGATTACATTGTGAATGGGATGAATTTACCCATAAAATGGAAACAAATGGCAGATTAAAATTTTGAATTCAGCAATATGTTGTTTTCAGGAAACACAATAAAAATAAGGGATACACACAAAGATAGAATAAAAGGATGGAGTAGAATTTATCATGTAAAAAAAAAGCAGGGGTAGTAATCATGATATCAGACAAAGTTAAAGCTAAAATAAATATAAGCAAAAGAGAAAAATAGGGAAATTATACTATGTGTCACCAATATTATCCAGTATGGTTTTAGACCATTTAAAATAAGTAGACAGTATAAAATAACAGTATAAAATAAAATGAAATAAAATAATATAACTGAGAGTATACATGCCAAAACAGATACAGGAATTATACAAACATAAACATAAAACACTTTTTATAAAAATAAAATCAGACCTAAATAATTGGAGTAATATTTATTGTTCATGGGTAGGTAAAGCCAATATAATTTAAAAAAATGGCAATTTTACCTAACTAATCTGTTCAATGTCTTACCAATTAAATTACCAAAAAAAAGTATAAAACTATCTTACTGAATTAGAAAAAAATAATAACAAAATACACTTGGAAGAACAAAAGGTCAGGAATTTCAAGGAAACCCGGGGAAAAAAGATGTAAAGGAAGGAGAATCAGCAGTATCAGACATTAAACTATATTATAAGGTGAGAACATTGTTGAAGTATGAAATGGATAATTTCAATTATTTTAAATTAAAATTTTCTTGTATAAATAAAACCAATATAGCCAAGAAAAGAAAGCGTGCAGAAAACTGGGGGTGGTGGGGGGGAACTTTCATAGACAATCTCTCAGATAAGATGTGATTGTGTTGGCATACTGCTGTGGTGTAGGAAATGATGAGTTGGTTGATTTAGAAAAAAAGCAGAAAGACTTGGACTTATGAAGGAAGGTGCTGAATACCTCCAGAGGAAGAGATGATAACTAGAAATATGCATAGTACAATCTTACATATATATGTATGATATACAGATATAGATATGTAGATATTTGCTTTTAATTGTAGTTTTCTTAGGGAGGGAAGGGGAAAAATGAAGTAAAAAGTGCACGGAAGAGAACAAAAGAAAACCTAGAAGGAAACAAAGAAAAGCTGGGTAGCTTTGGAAACAATGTGTGGTATTCATTATATAGGTTTTCTTGAAATGGAAATTTATTATTTTGTATTGAATCCACTGTTATGTTCTGCTATGTACATGGAAATGTTCTTTTTTTGTTTTGTATTTAAGTTTAAAATGAATTAAAAAATATATATATATTTATTTATTTATAATGCCTACTACATGTCAGTCACTTTTCTTTTATAAATATTACTTCATTTGATCCTCTCTACAACCTTGGGAAGTAAGTACTCTTGTTATCCTCATCCTACACTTGAGAAAACTGAGGCAAACAAAAGGTAGGTGACTTGCTCAGGGTCACACAGCTAGTGTAAGTATCTGAGGCCAAATTTGAACTCAGGTCCTTCCTGACTCCAAGCCCAGCACTCTATTCACTGCTCCACCTAGCTGCATACGGACCCTTGAGATGGAGAGAAGGGAAAGGGATGTGGCTGTGCTTCAGTCCTTGCTTCTAGTAAATATCCTTTGTAAATAACTGATATTAATTGGTTAATTGATATTGGGGAGAAATCCACCAGTTACATGATATTAAGAGGGACATACCCGATGGGGGCTCATGAGCAACCTTATTAGAAGCCACAACCCTTCAAAATTACCTATGCCTAGAAACAGGAAAGGAGAAGTGGTAGCCTCCCGCTGAGGACCTGACCTACCAGCTCAGTTTGAGTTGAGAGAGTGAGCCCATAGTTTTGCAGAGCATCCATAACTTTTTTGGTTATTCTTCCCATTTCGATCACTACCTACCTTCTCCCCACCCCCTCCCAGAAGGTTCATTTCCTTATGTCTTTTGAAGTCATCATTGGTCCCTGCTTTGGTCAGAGTTCCGAGGTCTTTTGGAGCTATCTGCCCTCAAACTACTGTTCTGGGCATTCTGAAATTTGCTCTCCTGACTCCGCTCACTTCACTTTGCCTCAGTTTACATATGACTCTCCAAATTTCTCTGAATCTGGCATATTCCTCATTCTTATAGCACAGTGAAGTCCCATTGTAGTCCTACCGCACGACTGGTTCAACCATTCCCCAATTGACATGTGCCTAATTTGTTACCAGTTCTTTGTTACAACAAAAGTTGTTAACACACAGAAATATTTATATTTTTGTATAAGGGGGTCCTTTCCTTCTGTCCTTAACCTCATTGGGTATATGCAGCTTGCATACTTTCTGCAGACCCCTCATTTTATAGATGGGGAACTGAGAAGCGAGGGGAACTTAGCCAAGGTCACTCACTTAATAAGCAGCAGGGCCAAGATTCCAACCAAGATCCTCCTTAATCTAGACCATCTCTGAGACCATTACTTCGCTAGTAGACTTGCTCCTTCGGGGCCCAGCATCCTCCTCCTCCTCCTCCATGTCCTCACCCAGAGCCAGGCGGCATGCAGCCCAGAGGGACCTCTGGAGCCGAGCCCGGCCTACGACCAGGAATAGGGTGGGGTTGAGACAGCTATTGGCCAAGGCTAAGCCTATAACGAGGGTCTCAGCCTGGAGAGTGCTGGCCAGGAGCTCTGAGTGAGGGGCTGCAGCAGCTACCACCAGCCCTACCACGTGGTAAGGTGCCCAGCAGAGGAAGAAGCCAACCACAGCCAGGGTCAACAGGTGCAGGATGTGGGGCTTCGGCTGCCCTCTCAGGTGAACCAGCAGGACTCCGTGGCAGCCAGCCACAACCCCCAGTGGCCCAAGAAAGCCACCGATGAAACGGATGCCAGCCACGGCCCCCTCAACCCCACGGGACCCACCGTAGTCCACCACGCACTCATAGCGTTCTGGGAAGTATTCCTGGTGAAGTCGTCGGGTCAGCACCGAGGGGAGAGTGAGCAGCAGCGCCAGCACCCAGGCGACTCCGCAGCCCGCCCACGCTGGCCACAGACGGTCCCGGGCCCTGCTTGGCCGAAGCACAGCCAGACATCGGCCGATGCTGGCACCGGCCAAGAGCAAGACGCTGGCATACATGTTGAGCAGAACGGCTGAGGGCAGAAGGCGGCAGGCGGCTGAGCCGAAGGGCCAGTCACCTTGACGAATGATTGGCACAGCCATCAGGGGCAGGGACAGGCAGCAGAGCAGGTCAGCCAAGGCCAAGTGCAAGAACCAGATGGAGGGGGCCGACTGACGAGCTGTGGCCCCAGTCACCCAGGCCACAAGCACATTTCCTGGCACCCCCACTAGGAAAACTGCGGCATAGAGAAGCAGAGGAGAAATCCGAAGAGGATCCACGGAGGCACAAGAGCCTCCCGGCTCACAGTCTACATGCAAGTCAGGACCCAGGCTGTAATCCTCGTAGTCATAGCTTACTGAGGAATTCTCCATTTCAGTCCTGTGCACAGTATCCAAGGCACCCTGGGGAAGAAGATGAAAACCATGTGGAGACTAGCAACTAAGACGTGGGACCGCATTGGAAATCTGCTCGAATCAGAGAATCTCAGATTTAGATAGACCTTAGAGATCGCCTCATCTAATTACCTCTGTGATAGATGATTTCCCTCTGAATAATCCCCATGAAGGTCCCTCCAGCCTTGGATGAAGACGCAGAGGATGAACACATTTGTGATGCTGGGAGGAAGAGTTCAAAGACTGGGAGATTGTCAAGTGCAAGGTCTCCATTTTACAAAGGAAAAAGCTGGAGTCTGGTAACGAGAAAGGGACTTCTCCAAGATCATTCAGGCACAGAACCAGAATCCCAAAAGATCTTACTGAGCCAGGGAGACCAAGATGAAATGTAACCAAGGACGTAGTATCTGAGGAGCACTGGGTTTGGAAATAGAAAACGGGCACTAGAGTCTGTCCCTGAATGTGAAACCTGTTCTTGGGTTCCCAAGGTAGGATAGCAGAGATGTATCTAGACAGCCATTGTGTGAAAAAGACCTGGGAGTCTCAGTGGCACCATAACCATGATGGGCACAGCCAGTGTGGTGACATAGGGAAAAAGTTAGCATAAGCCTGGGTTGCCTTAGTTGGGACAGAGTCTCCGTGTGAGAGGACTCGTGATGAAGCGTCCTATGCACCTCCTGAGAGAGAGGCGATGGATTCAGGAGGAAGGGTCGGGCACAGACAGATCAGGAAATGTGAGCGGGAGGGAGATTCGTCTGGGGCGATCACACATGTTGGCAGGACAGCTTTTGTTTTTCCTGCTCTCTCAGTGAGGAGCAGGGGTGGAGGGGGAGGGGAAATGAAGACTTAAAAAGAAAATAAAATAACATTTTAAAAATCAGCGATAAGGTATCCAAAGAGAGGGACCTATTAGTTCCACTGGGAAGGTCAGGGTCCACCTGAAGAACTGTTTAGTTCTGGGTACCACACCTGAGGAAGGACAAGCTGGGATACCCCCAGATGAGAGAGACCAGGATGGAGATTGCAGGACCGTAGAACAAGACCTAGAAGGAGCCTCACAGACCATCTAGGCCTCCAGGCCACATGTGGCCCTCTAGGTCCTCAAGTGCCGGCCCTCACTTGAAGACTTAGAGGGCCACATGCGGCCTTGAGGCTGCAGGTTCTCCACCCCTGAGTTAGGCCAATGCCTCATTTTATAGTTCAGTATCTCTTCTTCTAATGCCCCTCCCAGCTCTGACATTCCCTGTCCTAAGGCCCTCTCAGCCCTGACATTCCCTGTTCTAAAGCCCTCACAGTTCTGACATCCCATGTTCCAAGGCCCCTCCCAGCTCTGACATTCCCTGTTCTAAAGCCCTCCCAGCTCTGACATTCCCTGTTCTAAGGCCCTCCCAGCTCTGACATTCCCTGTTCTAAAGCCCTCCCAGCTCTGACATTCCCTGTCCTAAGGCCCTCCCAGCTCTGACATTCCCTGTCCTAAGGCCCTCCCAGCTCTGACATTCCCTGTCCTAAGGCCCTCCCAGCTCTGACATTCTCTGTTCTAGGGTCCCTCCCAGCTCTGACATCCCATGTTCCAAGGCCCCTCCCAGCTCTGACATTCCCTGTCTAAGGCCCTCCCAGCTCTGACATTCCCTGTCCTAAGGCCCTCCCAGCTCTGACATTCCCTGTCCTAAGGCCCTCCCAGCTCTGACATCCCATGTTCCAAGGCCCCTCCCAGCTCTGACATTCCCTGTTCTAAAGCCCTCCCAGCTCTGACATTCCCTGTTCTAAGGCCCTCCCAGCTCTGACATTCCCTGTCCTAAAGCCCTCCCAGCTCTGACATTCCCTGTCCTAAGGCCCTCCCAGCTCTGACATTCTCTGTTCTAGGGTCCCTCCCAGCTCTGACATTCCCTGTTCTAAAGCCCTCCCAGCTCTGACATTCTCTGTTCTAGGGTCCCTCCCAGCTCTGACATTGCCTGTTCTAAAGCCCTCCCAGCTCTGACATCCCATGTTCCAAGGCTCCTCCCAGCTCTGACATTCCCTGTTCCAAAGCCCTCCCAGCTCTGATGTTCCCTATTCTAACGCTCTGCCATCCCATGTTCCAGGGCTTCTCCCAACTCTGACCTTTCACATTGCCATATGCAGTTATGTTGAAGGCATCAGGGATACTCATCCAGGACAAATGTGTGTTTGAGCCCTGTACGTTTCTTCAGCTATCCGAAGGGCCATCATAGGGAGGAGGTCACATTTAGTTCCAGTCCCTTCAGACAAGGCAGAGCTGCCTGGCAGTCAGGGCAGCTTCCCCAAGGGAGAGCTAAGGCCTTGCTGCCCAGCTGGATAGGGAGTTCTCCATTCTAGGGAGTTCGCTAGTTAAATGCTAGTTTGGGGCTATTCCTGGGCTAAGGGGCCCCAAATGCAAATGAGAGCTATCCCTTCAGTGGGACAACAGGAAAGATTTGGGCGGAAGGGGGGGCATAGAGGGGGGAAAGAGGAAGCCCGGGGAGATTTCAACACCCCATTTCCCTTCCCCGTCCCCCTTACCCCGCAATGTAAGACCAGATCAGCCTTTCCACTTCTCACATGAGTGGAATCGTCTCCAAAGCGCTGGGAAGTGGAAGGCAGCAGGGCTGCTGCGCGGTCGGCCCCCTTCCAGATGCTGAGTCTGCACACACTCATTTCCACACTCTCCACCCCATGGGAAGGGCTGCGAGAGGAGAACTCATACTGACCAGTGCCAGGCAGGGTGTGGTCACCCCTTTGCTTCCCCATGAGTCACCCCTTCTCGAACTGCTGGAGGACAGGATAGGGCTTGGCAGGCAGCCAGGACAGGCAGAGCCACCAGGCAGATTCAGAGCCCTTCCCTCCCAGGCCTGCCCACCCTGGTCTCTGACCCTGATCAACTTAGCATGGGAGGCCTCCAGGGCACAGGCCCAGGGGGTCTCTCTACTCTGGCTCTGGCCTTTCCCATCTCCAGGGCTCAGCTGGGAGTCACCTTTGGGGTTGGGTCCAGGACCCTCTCCCCTGACACTCGACACTCGTCAGCTTCTGTGTCTGCCTGGGATCTCACTAGGCCTAGAGGTGAATCTTGTTGCCCTGTCCTTTTCCTTTTCTGCCCAGGACTCAGAGGGTTGCTTTCCCTGTATCTGCGTCAGAAGCCCTCCCATCACCCAGCGCCTGCTCCCACTCAGAGATCCTCCGACTCAGACTTTTGGGGCCCTGGTAGAATCCTTATCAGGCACAGTTTATCCAAGGCTTATCTCCCCAAGGACAGAAACCAAGTTTATCAAGCCCTGGATTCCCCATAATCCTGGCTCATGGAATGTTTGTTGAATGAAGGAATGATAGTTTGACCCTATGCCTCTTTGGCTCTGCCCCCAGCTTGAGGTATGACCTTGGGAAAGTGTCTCTCCTCCTCTAGACCTCAGGTTACCTCCCTATAAAAACACAAGTGGGGTGCTTAGCTAAGGGCACTCCCACATTCACCGAATCACAGAATTTTAGAGTTAGACGGGCCTTGAAAGGAATTCCCCCACTGGAACATCCCCCCAAATAGCCGTCCATCATCCGCTCTGTCTCTAAAGGCAGCGCATTCCACTTGGAGACATATCTAACCCCTTAGTTTTTCCTAACACCAACCATATACTTCTTTCTTGCTGCTGGTTCTGAGATCAGCTTTGGCATTCTAGGTTATATATGGCTGGGTTTCTTAACTTGGACCCTGCAGGTAGATTTCAGGGGGTCTCTGAAATTTGATGGGGGGGAAAAATCATATATTTATTTTTACTCACCGCAAATTGAAATTGAGTATTTCCCTCACTAATGAATTAAAAAAAGATTCTGATGAGGGATCCATTGACCTCACCAGACTTCCAAATGGGTGCTTGGCACAAAAAAGGTTTGGGCGCCCTGTTGTAAGGTCCCTTCTGGGGCTCTGAGATAGAGCCTTGTGGAAATCAGTACTTAATATGTTGATTGCATTAGACTAGAAACTCTTGGGCTACAGGGAAGCTACAGGTGGGGAAGAATCCAGCGCAAAATGTGGAAGTTGGGCTACACCAGACCTGAATTCAAAGCCCAGGCCTGCCCTGTACTACCCATGTGACCCTGGACAATCAGGTTCCTCGAAAAAATAACAGGATTGAGCAGATGGCTCCCTGAGGCCCCTCCCCCTTTACATCCATGATCCTGTGAATCAAATGTTCTGGGTTTTTCTAAAAGCCTATGTCTTATTTTGAAGGCCCTTGACCATCCCAAAGTCTTAGGATTCTTAGGGTGTCCCAGGCACTTTGTTTACCCCTTCCCTAGGGGCTTTCTGGGTCAAGATGGGAGGCTGGAGATGGGAAAGAGTGGACAGTCAGGACCTTAAAAGGCAGGAGAAAGGATAATCCTCATGGCCCAGGAACTGAGGCAAGAATGAGGGACAGAAAGAGGTAGGCAGATAGATGGACAGACTTGGTGCAGATCAAGCAAAGCCTGCGACAGAGACCCTCTGCTCTAAGTTCTCCCAACCTGTGAGGGGAAGACCCCCAGAAGATGAGAGGATCCCAGAAATGGAGCCTGGCAGCCCTGTTATCTGGCTGACACATTTTGAATTTACTAAGACACCCTTCTCCTCTTCTTTTCAAATATATCATTGTCTAACTGGGCCTGCTCCATAAGATGAATTTGAATCTCTGAATGTCAGCGAGGACTAGAGAAAGGAGAGATGAGCAGGGTGGTGGGGAGGAAACAGACAAGAGGAGGTTAATCCAGAAAGGGCTTTTTGTAGGAGGCAGCTGAAGAGTGGAGGGGGCAAAAATTTGGGGATGGAAGGAGGGAAGTTTGGGAGCTGGAACTAATTTCCCTTTCTTGAAAAGCCCCCACCCCACCCCATCCCACCCTACCCTGCGCCCTGCCCCACCCCAGTCACTTCTATTTTCTTAAAAGCACAGGTACGGCAAAATGAAATTTGTGACACTGTGATCCAGCTGGAGATGAGTTTGACTGGTGACACGCCAGGAGATCCCGCCAGGGCAGATTCCCTGAGGGATCCAGCCAGGGGAAGCACCCTTGTACATCCCAAACCTGCTGGAACAGAGTCCACTTGTACTCCCATTCAATTCCAACCAAAAGATTTATTAAAACAAGGTGAGAAAGAGTTAAGAGCTCTGAGGGGGCGGGGTGCAATCTGGGAGGGAAAGAGGATAGCAGAGAAACTCACAGTGGGTCTCCCAGGGGTTGAGGACATTCAGAGAAGGCCTCCAAGAGGGGCTGGGGGCTGGCAAGGTGGCTGTCCTCTGGGGAGAGATGGGAGCCCCATTTATTAATCCCATGGGTCAGGCACTGTGATAAACACCGATGGTCCAAAGAAAGACAAAAAGAGTTTCTGCCCTAGAGAAGTTCCTAATCTAGCTGGAGGCTAGGGGAGGCCAGCGGTCCTAGGGGAGGGAGCTGTCCACAGGCTAAGCCTGACCAAGGGCCCTTCACTCGCATCTCTGCTCTCTCAGAAGGGGCCACAGCTCAGCCTCACAGCTGCTCCTCGGGGCCCATGGTCGATGCCATTGTGGACCGGCTAAAGGATTTGCTGTCTCGCCCCACAGAGTCCTCTATCAGCACTTTCCGGAGGCTGGTGCAAATGAAGTAGCTTGTCATGCGATCCTTTATGCCATGGCCAGCAACCACATAGATGATGGGGTTGATGCAGCTGTTAATATAAGTCAACGAAATGGTTAAGCTGTCTATCTTCTTTGCCCAGGAGTAGAGTTCGGAGCCCGAAAGGCTCGCGGCCTCCACGAGGCCCACAATCTGATAGGGGGTCCAGCAGATGAAGAAGCCGGCCACCACAGCCAGAACCACCTTGACGGTCTTGAGGGAGCGGGTGGCCTGGCGACTCCACAGACGATTGAGCAGGAGCCAGTAGCAGACGGAGATGATGACGAGAGGACCCAGGAAGCTAAGCAGAAATCGAAAGATGGCCACAATGAACTCGACTGTCTTCTGCTCGTAGTGCACCATGCAGTGCCAGCTGGGAGGGAAGTCTTCTTCCTTCAGCTCGCGGTATATCAGCGAAGGGATGGTCAGAACCAAGGCCAGCGTCCAGGCCAAGAAGCAGGCGGCCCTGGCCATGGGCACACTGCGGTGGTTCTGGCACCAGATGGGCTTCATGACCAGCAGGCAGCGGTCAATGCTGATGGCCGTGAGCAGCAGCACGCTGGCGTACATGTTGAGCAGGATGACGGAGGGCAGGAAGCGGCACGCGGCTTCGGTGAAGGGCCAGTCATCATACCGGACGATGGGGACGGCCAAGAGCGGAAGCACCAGGCAGCAGAGCAGGTCGGCCACGGCCAGGTTCAGGAACCAGACGCCATTCACCACCTTGCGGGCCTCGATGCCTGTCACCCACACCACCACGGCATTGCCCGGCACGCCCACCAGGAAGACCACGGAGAAGACCACGAAGGCGATTATCTCTGAAGCTGAATATTCCCTGGCCCCGTCCACGGGGGAATCATCGGTCCAGTCACTATAATTTGCGTAGTCTCTATATATGGGAAGCACAGTGCCTGGTAGGGACCAAACATTGAACACAAGACCATTAGTAAGCATATCTAGCACCTTCTGGGGATCGTTCAGTCGTTTTTCAGTCATGTCTGACTCTCTATGAGCCCATTTGGGGTTTCCTTGGCAGAATGGTTTGCCCTTTCCTTCTCTAGCTCATTTTACAAATGAGGAAACCGAGGCAAGCAGGGTGAAGTGACTTGCCCAGGGTCACACAGCTAGATAAATTGTTGTCTGGACGTAACTACTTGGTTTATTTATTCCATCATAACAGTCATGGTGACTGACAAAGAGATTGAGACTTCAGATCTCCATGTGACAGCTGGACTTTCACTGAAGGAATATCCTAAGACACTCTGGTAAGATTTCTTTTCTTTCTTTCTTTCTTTCTTTCTTTCTTTCTTTCTTTCTTTCTTTCTTTCTTTCTTTCTTTCTTTCTTTCTTTCTTTCTTTCTTTCTTTCTTTCTTTCTTTCTTCCTTCCTTCCTTCCTTCCTTCCTTCCTTCCTTCCTTCCTTCCTTCCTTCCTTCCTTTCTTTCTTTCTTTCTTTCTTTCTTTCTTTCTTTCTTTCTTTCTTTCTTTCTTTCTTTCTTTCTTGGCAATTGGGGTTAAGTGACTTGCCCAGGGTCACACAGCTAGTAAGTGTCAAGTGTTTGGTCTGAGGCCAGATTTGAACTGAGGAAGATGAGCCCTCCCGATTCCAGGTATGGCACTCGATGCACTATGGCGCCCCCTAGCTGCCCCATATAGAACATTAAAGGGCTTTAGATCTTATCTGAGCCTCATAACATTCTTCTGAAGTCTGATAGTAACACTATTGTCATTTTGTGAGGCTGGGAGGGACTCATTTCTTTATGTTCATAAAACTAGTGAGTGATTATATAGGATTCAAACCCAGTTCTTCTTCCCAGAATCAGGGGTTCTTAACCTGGGAGTGTGTGAACTTCTTTCTTTTGTTTTTTAATATTGATACCTATATTTCAATATAATTGGTTTCCTTGGCAATCCTACGTGTTTTATTTTAGGGCAGCTAGGTGGCACAGTGGATAGAGCATTCGGGTTAGAGTCCTCATTCACTGCGGGACCTTGGACAAGACATTTAAACCCTCTCAGCCTAAGGCTTCTTCATCTGTAAAAAACAGAGATAATAACACCTCCTTCACAGGGTTATTGTCTGAATCAAATGTGCGTAAAGCACTTTGCAAACCTTAAATCTCTGTATAAATCCTAGCTCTTGTTACTATTAAGCATCTACAAGGTGTATCCCTGGGGATACGAGACCAGAAGTGATACCCTCAAGGGGCTTCCGTTCTACTAGAGGAGATGACATATACACAGGTACACATGAAACACACACAAAGTCAAATCAAAGTCATTTAAGGGGTGGGGTGGGGTTAAAGCGGGGACACCAGCAATGGAAAGGCCAGGAGAGGCTTTATGGAAGAGGTGACTGCCGAGCCGAGCCTCGGACTTTCAGAGGTGAAGGAAAGGAAGCAATGCTTCCCCACCACAGGGTAGTAATAGCCCCAGAGGCACATGGTGGGAGATGGGAGGTTGAGGTCAGAGAGCAGCAAATGGGCCATTTTGGGCTACAGTGAAGCATTTAGGAAGAAGAGTCATATGGAATAATAAAGCCAGACTAGGAAGGGCTTTAAATGGGAATCTGAGGTGTTTGCAATTTATCTCAGAGGCAACAGATTCCGACGCACTGGGTTTGGAGTTGGAGGACCTGGTTTCGAATCCTGACTGGACCACTTACTGTCTATATGACCTAGTGCATGTCACTGAATCTCTCTGGGGCTCATTTTCTTATATTAGGTAAAAAATAGGGAGGGTTGCTTGGTACAAAAATATTCAGAGTAGCACTTTTTATTGAACTTGGAAACACAAGGGGTGACCATTAATTGGGGAATGGTGGAACAAATGATAACCCATGAATGTAATAGAATACAGCAAGAAATGATGAAAAGGGAGATTCCCTTTAAGGCAGGTAGGTGCTGCTGCTGTGGATGGAGCTCTGGACCTAGAGTGAGGAAGATCTGAGTTCAAATTCAGCCTCAGACACTTACTATAGTTGTATGACCTTGGGCAAACACGTAACATCTGTTTGCCTCAGTTCCCTTATCTGTAAAGTGGGGATAAAAATACGGCTGTTGTGAGGATCAAATGAGATAATATTTGTAAAGTACCTAACACAGTACCCAGCATTACATTAAAAATAACATTAGGCTAGGCAAGTCACTTAACCCCATTGCCTAGCCAAAAAAAAGAGAAAAAAACCAAAAAGATGAAATAATTCACTATGTAGGGGCAGCTAGGTGGTGCAGTAGATAGAGCACAGGCCCTGGAGTCAGGAGGACCTGAGTTCAAATCTGGCCTCAGACACATAACACTAGCTGTGTGACCCTGGACAAGTCACTTAACCCCTATTGCCTTGTTAAAATAAATAAATAAATGAATGAATGAATGAATGAATGAATGAATGAATGAATGAATAAACAAATGAATAAATAAATAAATGAGTGAATAAATAAATGAATGAATGAATGAATAAATAAATAAACAAATAAATGACATTAGGGACGTCATTTTGCCTTTACCCGCCATTTTGTGAAGCTAGGTTTCCCCTGATTTTGGAGAAGTTACAAAATTACTCCCCCTCCCAAAGATTGCCAGACTTAAGGAATATCACAAAACTACCCCTCACCCTCTCACCTCTATGTTCCCTGATCCCCTCCACCAATAGGAAACCAACTGTCTCAATCCTTATAATCCTCTTTTTCCTGTTTTTTTACTCCCTCCCAAATTGTATTTTAACTGTATATAAACCAAGGTTCTGAGTCCTTGGCTACTGAGAACCTTGGTTCCAGTTTGTTTCTGCAACTGAATGCATTGCTAAATAAATTGTTGTCTGGACGTAACTACTTGGCTTATTTATTCCATTATAACAGTCACGGTGACTGACAAAGAGATTGAGACTTCAGATCTCCATGTGACAGCTGGACCTTCACTGAAGGAATATCCTAAGACACTCTGGTAAGATTTCTACCAATGGACCACTCATCCCCAGACCTCTTTGTCCTCCCAACCCATACAGAGTCAGATGATACCTCCTTAGAGGTGAGCGGTTGCTGACAAGGAAGTTTTTATTGGCCCTGAGAACAGAGAAAGCTTCCCATTCAGAAAGGGATGGCTAAGGATAGAGCTCTATGAAGACCCCAACAAAGGCATAATGTGTGTGTTGTGTGTGTGTGTGTGTGTATGTGTGTGTGACAAAGACAGTGAGAGAGAGAGAGAGAGAGACAGAGAGAGAGAGAGAGAATGGCAATCTTGAGAAATCACTTTGTTGGGAAAAATTAGAAAAGAGGGTAAAGTTTCAAAACAGCTCTCCCAGCTATCAATAATATCAAACAGGGACTTACTTTCCTGAACTTTTTAATTAAACTTTCATCGGGAGATAAGAAGGAAAAACTTCACTTCTATGTGTCTGTCTTGTCATATCATCTGTGTTTTGTGTCTTGATAAATCAAACTAACTTTTTCCTGTGGTCTGATCAATCAAAGGAAATAGAGTGCAAAAAGTGAAAACTTTCCATAGACTTCAAAAAGAAAGATCTCTCTCTCTCTGCCTTTCTAACTTTAAGTTGGGGAAGTAGACAAGAGACACAGATAAGAAGGGAAGGAATCTTTGTTTCCAGTCTGCAGAAATTTATGGCATTGTAAACCCATTAGAGTTTTTGGAAAGAAGTTTCTTCTCCCATTGAGATAAGAAAGATTTGAAAAACTTTTTGGAGAAATGTCTATTAGCAATTGCAGAAAGATATATTCTATCAAATGGAAACTCTTAGAAGTACAAATTTGCCGAATAAAATTATTTGGATAAGCATGCTAAACACTTTTGTCTTTGATGCTTTCCCAAGAAACAAAGAAGGGGGATAAGAATATGAGGGTGAGGGTTTCCTAGGGTTAAAACTGCGAAGAGTAATAAATACCTCAGGAGAAAAATTAGACACGCACTTTATCTGCTCTCTGAAAGTATGGGGAAGAAGCTATATTAAGAAAATAAGTAGAATTGATTTGCTTTATTGTTTTTTTTTAATGCCACCATGTATTTTTAAAAAATGAGCTAACTGAAAAACAATGGGCCCTAAAGTTTGAAGGATCAAAGTTCTAAATATCTCCGTCTGAGATTGTAAACCCAAACTTGATTTGTTCGGAGTTTTGTCCTGAAACTAAATTATGTGGTCTCATTTACACTGAGATGTGTTCTTTTATTAGGAAAACTATAGTAAATTAGAACTTACTGCAAAATACATTTGCTAAATGCTGAAAAACTCATGGATCAGGAAAGACTGAATTAAAATCCAGTATTACTTGGGTTGACTTTAAGTAAGTTATTTCACTTCTGTCTACCTTAGTTTCCTAATCCGAAAAGGGTACAAAATAGCTATCACCTCCCAGAGCTGTTGTGAGAATTGTACACTGTCTGGTATAGTGTTTGGCATACACATAGTAAGCACTATATAAATGTTAACTGCTATTATTATTTTTTAATTGAATGTAATTACTCCATATTGGATTACTCTATACTGAGTTTAGATGTGATTAGTATAGAATGCCAAAAGTGATAAAAAATGAATGACTTTCTTTGTTAGAAAATTTGGAGTTTCATTCTATGGAATCGATATCGCCTAACTGGTAATGAGTTCTGTTTCTTCAAATTCAGGGTATTGTGCATGTTATTATTGTGTCTCTAAAATTTCTTTTCTTATAATCGTGAAATCTGGGGAACGATTGTGTTGGAAATGCTGTCAGAAATGTAATTTCTCAGGGCAGCTAGGTGGCACAGTGGATAGACCTCCAGCCTTGGAGTCAGGAGGAGCTGAGTTCAAGTCCGGCCTCAGACACTTGACACTTACTAGCTGAGATTATCTGGCCATCACTTATGAAAAATTATGAAACTGCACCTGCTAATAAATCATCTCTGTGGAAGTTACATCTTTGAGC